ACCAGAAATATTGCCCAGTCCATGATAAGGGAGGGGGCGTTGCTATATCCTCCCTTAGTGGAAACTGCTGTAGGTAAATGGAAGAGTAGGGCGTCTGGGAATGGGTACGACTGAACAGTGCATGAGCTTGGACTTAACTACAGGACAATGACAAGAGAGGAAGTACAGTGAGAAGGGTAGAATGGCTGAGGGCATCGTGAAGGTTCTTGAAACCAGCCATGGGAAGCTAATAGCGTATGTTTGCACTCTGAGGGCTTAAAAGGTGACCTTGCTGAAACTGACACCAGAGACAGTGATTTCACAGTAACAGACCAAGAGGGAATTTTGAGACAGGGAAACCAATTGGAGGAGTGTCCAGAGCCTAGACTAAATCTTTGCAGAGATTTAGGAAGGGAAAAAAGGGCAGATAATTTCTTGGCAGGGTCGTTCAGATTACGTATAGCTCTTGAGCCAAAATTGATTATTTTACGTGTCACCAGTTCGCATTAACCTTCTAGAATGTAACCTGTTCTAGGATTCCTAAAGTGACTAATGATTATGTGTACAACATAGAGCAGACATTGGGTAGAAAATTAGCTTTTTTTGGCAAATTCTAGTTTGAGTACCAATTTCTATATTGTTATTAAGACTATGTCTCTAACATATCCATATAGATGTAACTGTCTAACCTTCATCAGAAAACTGCTTTTAATATTTCAAGTTGATACACCTTTTATTACAGCTACAGGGGTCCAGTTCCGTGGTACACCATAAATCTCGATCTACCACCGTATAAAAGATGGCATGAACTGATGGTTGACAAAGCACCAGCGGTATGCTATGATGATTAAACCTTCTACTTCTGACTTTACTGAAGATAATTGCATTTAAAAGAACACTTCATGATATCATGTACCAAGTATATTAAGAATCTGTTTTCCATGCTTCTCTGCCATTTACAATAAATGATAGAGGAAAAGATGTCATCTCATGTCATCTCTTGCTCTTTTTACTAGCCCTTGCCTTTCTTTATCTTGTATCATCTACTGTCATCTAAATATTTAATCAAGTGTCATGTTAAAGATGTGTTTACATGCATATTATCAAACAGTACTCTTATTTAACTACATATGGGTATGTTAAGAGGTCTGTGTCTGTTTTCATTATACCAGTATTACTCTTGAATGTCAATAATTTATGTCTCTTACTAATTTTTTAATTTATTTTTCAGCTAAAAGTTATAGTGAATTCTTTGAAGAACGTAGTAAATGCATTTGTGCCAAGTGGAATAATTATGCAGATAGTGGATCAAAAGTTGGTAAGAAATATTATTTCCCAAAATAAATTTTAAACACATACATATGTACACACAAGAGTTCAGCAAAGACTCTGGTATTTATTTAAAGGCATAATTTGACAGCCTCTTGTAAGGAGCTTGGATAGTTTGCTTTTATTCCAGACCATTGTCAAAACTTCAGAGGGACTTAAAATTCTGGGACAGTAATATTAGAGTAACAGGACATAAAGTAGCATGGCAAATTTGGGCAGTTAACTGCTCTTTAATGTTTTATTACAAGTGTGACCTATTTTATAGAGCAGTACGCAAATACCCACATTTCATCTGGAAATACAGCATTTCCTTCTGTTAATACACTTAGGTTTCCAAGTTCACTTTTGAAAATTTGGGTTTTTTCTTAAGTACTTTGCCTGAGTATCTCAGGGCACTGAGAGTTTTTCTAGATAGGACCAAATGGCATGCTTTATCCCAGCCCTGTAGTTTCTGGAGTTCCTCAGCTCTGCCCATTTTGTGTTTCTTATGACTATGCATTGACCGAACCATTTGTTTGCTCCTGATCATGCTGGAAGACTCCATTTCTTGGCCTCTTTTTTAATTGAGGTGGAACCAGTGGAAAATCTAGGTCCTGGCCCCTTGAGCTCCCAGAGAGATCCTTATCACCCTCGTTTAGTCTTTGCTTTGGGGCCCTCACTGGGATTCAGGGTGTAAAGGATTGAAGAGGACACCAAGGCCTTAGGGCAGGTGTTTTAACCTCAACAGTAATGACATTGGAGATTGGATGATGTTTTGTTGTGGGCACTGTCTATGCACTGTAGGATGTTTAGCAGTATCCTGGCCTCGACCCACTGAATGCCAGTAGCACCCCTTCAGTTGTGACAACCAAAAATCTAGACATCACTAAATCTCCCCTGGGGAGGAAACCATCCCTGGTTGAGAATCACTCCTAGAAGCTGGAGATTCAGGGTGTACCACCCCCATGACACTTGTACCTGCCAGCCACCAAATCTCTTATCACTCATGTTTATGTTCTCAGAGCCTTTGATTAAGGCTCTTCTTTGTGTTCATACCAACCAGACTTCCCTAAAATACAAATGTTGGCAGGAGCAGCAGCAAAAGAGGCCCCCACAAGCCCCATGTGTCCTAATCCCCCTAAACCTGCATGTCAGCAGGAAGGGCAACAGGCAAAGGGTTTAGGTGCCCAGGCTTTGCAGTCAGACAACATTGGGGGTTTAAACATTTTTAAACATTGGGTTTTAAGGTAGGAGTAGCCATGTACTGTGTAGCCTTCGATAAGTTTCTTTCCTTTTTTTTTTTTAACAGTATGAAACCATTTTTTTAAAACAATTTTATTGTGGTATGGTTCCTGTACCGTCAACTACGCATATTTTAGACGTACAATTTGATGAATTTTGATAGATGTATACACCCGTGAAACCACCACTATAATCAAGATAGCTAACATTTCTAACACTCCCCAAGAGATGCATATTTCAAATTCCCAGTTTATCCCTTCCCATTGCTTCTTTAGTATTTTCTATGTATAGTATCATGTCATCTGCAAACAGTGATAGTTTGACTTCTTCATTTCCGACTTGGATTCCTTTTATTTCCTTTTCTTCTCTGATTGCTGTGGCTAGGACTTCCAAAACTATGTTGAATAAAAGGGGCAAGAGTGGGCATCCTTGTCTTATTCCTGATCTCAGAGGAAGTGATTTCAGTTTTTCCCCATTGAGTATGATGTTAGCTGTGGGTTTTTCATATATGGCCTTTATTATGTTGAGATATATTCTGTCTGTGCCCACTCTCTGGAGAGTTTTAATCATAAATGGATGTTGAATTTTATCAGAAGCTTTATCTACATCTTTTGAGATGATCATGGTTTTTATTCTTCAATTAGTTAATGTGGTATATCACATTGATTGATTTGCAGATATTGAAAAATCTGTGCATTCCTGGGATAAATCCCACTTGATCATGGTGTATGATACTTTCAATGCATAATTGGAGTCAATTTACTAGTGTTTTATTGAGGATTTTTGCATCTATATTCATAAGTGATACTGGCCTATAATCTTCTTTTTTTTGTGAAATCTTTGTCTGGTTTTGGTATCAGGGTAATGATGGCCTCATACAATGAGTTTGGAAGTGTTCCTTCCTCTGCAGTTTTTTCAAATAGTTTCAGGATAGGTGTTAACTCTTCTCTAAATGTTTGGTAGAATTCACCTGTGAGGTCATCTGATCCTGGACTTTTGTTTGTTGGAAGTTTTTAAATTATTGATACAATTTCAGTACTGGTAATTGGTCTGTTCGTATTTTCTATTTGTTCCTGGTTCACTCTTGGCAAATTGTACCTTTTTAGGAAATTGTCCGGTTCTTCGAGGTTCTCCTTTTTGTTGGCGTGTAGTTGCTCACAGTAGCCTCTTATGATCCCTTGAATTTCCGTGCTGTCGGTTGTAACTTTTTTCTCATTTCTGAATTTATTAATTTGGGCCTTCTCCCCCCCTCCCTTTTTTTTTTTTTGGTGAGTCTGACTAAAGGTTTATCAATTTTGTTTATCTTTTCAAAGAATCAGCTTTTAGTTTCATTGATCTTTTCTATTTTTTTTAGTATCTTTCATTTATTTATGCTCTAATCTTTATGATTTCTTTTTGTCTACTAACTTTGGGTTTTGTTTGTTTTTCTCTAGCTGCTTTGGTGTAAGGTTAGGTTATTTACTTGAGATTTTTCTTGTTTCCTGAGGTGGGCTTGTATCGCTGTAAACTTCCCTCCTAGAACTACTTTTGCTGCGTCCCAGAGGTTTTGGATCATTGTGTTTTCATTTTCATTTGTCTCAGAGTATTTTTAGATTTCCTCTTTGGTTTCGTCAGTGATGCATTGGTTGTTTAGTAGCATATTGTTTAGCCTCCACATGTTTGCAGTTTTTGCAGTTTTTTCCTGTAGTTGACTTCTAACCTTACAGTGTTGGGGTCAGAAAATATGCTTGGTACAACTTCAGTTTTTTTAAATTTACTGAGGCTTGCTTTGTGGGCCAGCATGTGATTGATTCTGGAGAATGTTCCACATGTATTTGAGAAGAATGTGTATTCTGTTGCTTTAGGATGGAATGCTCTATGAATACCAGTTAAGTCCATCTGGTCTAATGTGTCATTTCCTTATTGATTTTCTGTCTGGATGATGTGCCCATTGATGTAAGTAGGGCATTAAGGTCCCCCACTATTATTGTGATATTGTCAGTTTCTCCTTTTATGTCCGTTAACAGTTGCCTTGTATAGTGAGATGCTCCAATGTTGGGTGTGTATGTATTTATAATTGTTATATCCTCTTCTTGGATTGATCCTTTGAGTATTATGTAGTGTCCTTCTTTGTCTTTTGTAACAGTCTTTATTTTAAAATCTATTTTGGAGGGGGAGGATATAGCTCAGTGGTATAGACCATGCTTAGCCTAGCATGCCTGAGGTCATGGGTTTGATTCCCAATACCTGGATTAAATACAAAATGATAATAATAAATAAATGAACATAATTACCCCCCCCAAAAAAACAAAAAACAAAAACAAAAGATAAAAAAATAGAATCTATATTGTCTAAGTATTGCTACTCCATCTTTCTTTTGGTTTCCATTTACATAGAATATCTTTTTCCACCCCCTTACACTTTGAGCCTACATGTGTCTCTAGCTCTGAAATGGGTCTCTTGAAGACAGCATATATATGGGTCTTGTGTTTATATCCAGTCAGCCAGTCTGTCTTTTGGTTGGAGCATTTAATTCATTTACATTTAAGGTAATTATCAATACATGTGTTCTTATCGCCATTTTGTTCATTGTTTTGGATTTGTTTTTGTAGGTCTTTTTTTCTCTCTCTCTCTCTCTTTCTTCTTTTTGTTCTCTTTTCTTGTGGTTTGATGGCTAGAGAAGTTCCTTTAACATTTGTTATAAAGCTGGTTTGGTGGTGCTGAATTCTTTTAGCTTTTGTTTATCTGTGAAGCTTTTGATTTCTCTATCAAATCTGAACGAGAGCCTTGCTGGATAGAATATTCTTTGTTGTAAGTTTTTCCCTTTCATCACTTTAAATATATTGTGCCATTCCCTTCTGACCTGTAGAGTTTCTGCTGAAAAGTCAGCTGTTAACTTCATGGAAGTTTCCTTGTATGTTATTTGTTGCTTTTCTCTTGCTGATTTTAGTATTTTCTCCTCATCCTTAATTTTTATCAATTTGATTACTGTGTGCCTCGGTGTGTTCCTCTTTCAGTTGATTCTGTGTGGGACTCTCTGCACTTCTTGGACTTGGGTGACTGTTTCCTTTCCCAAGTAGGGAAGTTTTCAGTTATTATCTCTTCAAAAATTTCCTCAGGTCCTTTCTCTCTTCTTTCTGGGACCCCTATAATGCGAATATTAGTGTGCTTCATATTGTCCCAGAGTTCTCTTAAACTATCCTCATTTCTTTTAATTCTTTTTTATTTTTCCCTTTTTGCAGTAGTAATTTCCACTTATCTGTCTTCTAGTTTACTGATCCATTCTCCTGCCTCATTTAGCCTGTTGTTGGTTCCTTCTAGTGTGTTATTCATTTTGATAATTTTATTCATCTCTGGGTGTACTTTATATTATCTAACTCTTTGCTAAAAACATCCCCCTGTGCATCTATACTTCTTCTGAGTTCTCTGAACATCTTCACCATCATTACTCTAAACTCTTTCTCGGATAGATTGTCCATCTCCTCATCATTTATTTCTTCTTCTGGGATTTTATCTTGTTCCTTGGCCTGGAAGGTATTCCTCTACCACTTCATGTTGTCTTTCTTTCTGTTTGTATTTTTAGGTAGGTTAGTTATGTTTCTCGACCTTGGAGAAGTGGCCCCCTGTGGGAGACATCCTGTGCGTCCCAGCAGTACTCTCCTGTCTTGTCACCCAAGGGCCAGGGTCCAGCCAGTCCCAGGGTAGAGTCTGGCCTGCATTTGCAGATTCCTTCCACAGGCTTTGGGATTGTTGTTTTCTTATTTCTGGTATCTGCCCCCTGGTGGATGAGGCTGGACTAGGGGATTATGCAGTTTTCCTGGCTGGAGAAATTGGTGCCTGCCCGCTGCTGCATGGAGCTTGGTCCTGGTCCTCTGGTGGGTAGGGCTATGTCTGGAGTGTATGTGGCTCAGGAAGTTTGCCGATGGGTGGGGCTGTATTCCCATCCAGTATGTTGTTTGGCCTGAAGCTTCCCAGCCCTTAAGCCTACAGGCTGTTGGCTGGGGCTAGGTCTTGGTGCTAATGATGCAGTCAAGCCTCCAGGAAAGCTCATGTAGATGAACACTCCCAAAATATTTGCCACCAGCTTTTATGTCCCTAGAGTGAGTGGTATCTGTTGCCTACCTCCCTAGGAGACCTTACAAAACCAGCAGGCAGATCTGGCCCAGGTTCCTATGAAATTATTGCCTCTGCCCTTGGACCTGGTGCACGCAAGATCCTGTGTACGCTTCCCAAGAGAATGAAGTCTCTATTTCCCCAAGTACTGTGGGGCTTGTGGAATTAAGCCTTGCTGGCCTTCAAAACCAAATGTCTGGGGGTCTCCTCCTCCCAGTGCCAGAACCCCAGGCTAGGGAGCCTGGCATAGGGCTCAGAACTCACTCCTGTGGGAGGGCCTCTGCGACTTATTCTCCAACTTGTGGGTTGCCCACCTGGGGGATATGTGGCCCGATTATATCAAGAGCCCACCCCTCCTGTCGTCCTGCTGTGGTTCCCTCTCTATGTTTCCAGTTGAAGACATTTTTTGCTGATTCTTGTCTTTTTTCTTTCCCCCAATGGTGGTTTAGCAGTCAGTGTGGTTTTGATGTAGTCACGAGCATTGACAGCCTGTCTCTGTGCTGATCCTGTTTCTTCATATTGATAAGTTTCTCAACTTAAAAACTTCAGATCTCTCATCAGGGAGAATTTACTAATAATTCATATTTCACATGGTGATTGTAAGGATTAAATGACATAACAATGTAAAGCCCAGTGTATGGATGTTATAAGTGGTTAATATATGTGCAATAGTCATTTTTGCTTGTTAAATTGGCAGAAATATTCCACATGTGCAATGCTTTGAATTCCTAGATGAAAAAGATGATACGCTTATATCACATTACATATAAATGCCAAGTTGGTGAAAAATGAAACTTGTGAATCTTAAACACATTATCTTAGCAAAAAGCTGTGAGCTTAAATCTTGATCTCATTGCTAGTAAATAATTGCAGTTGAGGATAAAAGTATATATGAATGGATAAAGAAGATGTGGTTCACATATACATGCAATGGAATATTACTCAGCCTTAAAAAAGAATGAAACCTTGCCATTTGCAACAACATGGAAGGATCTAGAGGGTATTATGCTAAGTGAAATAAATCAGACAGAGAAAGATAGATACTGTATGATTTTACTTATCTTTGAAATTTAAAAAAAAATGAATGAACATAGCAAAACAGAAACAGTCATATACAGAGAACAAACAGGTGGTGCTAGAGGAGAGGAGTGTAGGGAGAGGAGAGAAACAGGTTAGGGATATTAAGAGGTACAGACTTTTAGTTACAAATAAATGAGTCACAGGTATGAAGTGTACAATGTGGGGAATATTGTAATGATGGAACATCTTTGTACGGTGACAGATGTAACTAGACTTATAGTGGTGATCACTTTGAACTGACTAGAAATATTGAAGCAGCAGGTCTAACATAGTATTATAGATCAATTATACTTCAAAAACAAACTCACAGAAAAAGAGATTGGATTTGTGGTTACTAGAAGTAGGGAGTGGGGGACAGGGAATTGGATGAAGGTGGTCAAAATGTACAAACTTTCAGTAAAAGGTAAATGAATACTAGGGTCTAATGCACATATTTATAATTATAAATATAATTATATATATAAAAATGTGTAATTATATAACATAATTAACATTGCTGTATGTTCTATGTGAAAGTTTATTAAGAGAGTAAATCCTGAGTTCACATCCCAAGGGAAAACATTTTTTTCGTTTTCCTTTGAAGACGTTCACATCACAAGGAAAAAATTTTCTTTTCTTTTTCCTTTATTTTGTATTTATATAAGATGATGGATGTTCATTGAACTTACTGTGATAATCATTTCAAGATGTGTATAAATCAAATCATTATGCAAAAACAAAATATGTATGCCCACCATTGAATTTGCTCATGTGTCCATTATTTGCTCTCAGGATGCAGTAATGCATCTTAGCCCCAAATCAGCTGTTAACTATGACAGATGTTTTGTAAATGACTGATGTAATTTGTTGCTGTGGGAAGGAAATAGTACCATAGTTCCCCTTATCCTCAGAAGATACATTCCAAGACCCCAGTAGATGCTGAAGCTGTGGATAGTGTTGAACCCTGTATGTGCTATGTTTTTTCCTATACATACATACCTGTGATAAAGTTTAATTTATGAGCTAGGCACAGTAGGAGATTAACAACTAATCATAATAAAATGGAACAGTTATAACAATAATAAAAGTTACATAAATGTGCTTTCTCTCTCAAAATACTGTCCTGTTCCCACCCTTCTTGTGATAATGTAAGATGATTAAATGCTTCCATGAGGAGATGAAGTCAGGTGATTGACATAGGCATTGTGAGGTAGCATTAGGCTACTGCTGACCTGATGTGACTACAGAAAGAGGATCCTCTGCTTTGTTTGATCCTGGATCCTCAAGCCATGACGATACTAATAGTTGGATGTGAGGAGCAGACGAGGTTGATGCCTGAGGATCCAGCCCTCAGGTGGGATACAGTGGGACAGTGTGAGATTTCATCATGCTACCCAACATGGCCTGCAACTTAAAACCTATGAATTGTTTACTTCTGTAATTTTCCATTTAATATTTTTTGGGCTGTGGTTGACTGCAGGTAAATAAAGCTGCAGAAAAGGAAACCACAGATAAGGGAGAAAGACTGTAATGAGGGTGTGATGCCAGTGACTAGAGGGCAAATTTGAGTAGAGAGGTAAGTGGTGCTTGTTGTGATGTTCTTGTTCTGTGAGTTAAGCTTAGGGCATCCAAGTGGAATTATTCCAGGTCCCTCACTGCGGAGAATAAGGTGAATATAAGGCAGGAAAAAACAATCTGAGAATCACAGGTCTCTGCATGATACCTGAGAGCAGATGAGCTTAAGGGTACAAAAGCAAGAGTTATAGGGGCCAAATATTACATAGAATCTTTTAGAAATTTCATGATGTGGAAGTGCTTTCAAAAAGAACTATGGTCACATATCGCGGCAGCAATAGCTAGAACAAATGGTGTGTGAAAGAACCAAACCTCAAAGCAACATTTTAGGTTGAACAGTTGTTCATTTGTTTTTCAGCCTGGTCTGCTTGGCAACTTTCCTGGCCCTTACGAGGAGGAAATGAAGGGAATTGCAGCTGTTACTAACATACCTTTAGGTAAAGTTCACTTTACAACTTCTAAAAAAATTTAGTACTTAAAATTTTTTATTGAAGTATGATATGCATGCAGTAAAGTGTACAGATACTAAATGTACAGCTCAATAGCTTTAAAAATGCCTGCATGCATGTAATCACAGCTCAGGGGAAGATGCAGAAAATTCTGGCTATCTAGCCTGACTCCATCCTCCCCCTTCCCAGACAATTCCAAGTCCTCAGGCAACCACGATTCTGACTTCACCATAGATTCATTTTGCCTCTTGAACGTCATACAGATAGAGCTGAACAGTATGAGCTGTTGTGTCTGGTTTCTTGCACTTATCATTCTAGGTAGTAGGCTATTGCGTGAATAGGATTTTTGTTGTTTCCAGATTCAGGATATTCAGAATAAAGCAGTTTTGAACATTCTGTACATGTCCCTTGATGGGCCTATGCCCTCCTTTCCCTAGGACATGCACTGTGTTACAGGGTGGCTGTCTGTTTAGCCTTGATTATGCCAGCCAGTTCTCCAGTGTTGTATCCGCTGACAGCATAGTACAAGAGTTCTCATTTTCTCCGCTTGATAGTGTCAGTCTTTTTAATTTGAGCTATTTTGTTGTTCACTCATTACTGTTTAATTTGCATTTCCCTCAAGACTAATGAGATTGAATAATTTATTGACCTTTTCCTTCCTTCCTTCCCTCCTCCCTTTCTCCCTTCCGTCTCCTTGTTAAATCTAATGCCCATTTTTATTGGCTTGAAGGAATTCTTCATATATATATATATATATATATATATACACACACACACACACACGTATATATACACACACACATATACATGGAATACACACACACACACATGCATACATAACCTACACACCAGTACAAGTTCTTCGTCAGATACATGTATTATGAATATCTTCTCCCACTCTGTAGCTTGCATTTTTGTCCTCTTATTGGTGTCTTTTGATGAACAGAAATTCTTAATGTTAGTGAAGTCCAGTTTTCCCATTGTTTTTTTTAATGGGTAGTGCTTTTTGTGCCTAATTAAGTGATCTCTGCTTGCTCTCAAACATAACCTTCTATGTTTTCTTCTGTATGTTTTGATTTACTTTTTACATAAAGGCCCATGATGTGTCTTTTTTTTCTTTTTTTTTTTTCCCACCTTTCTTCTTCTTTTTTTTTTTCTTTTAAGTAAAGGTAGATTTATTTAGATCCATGATGTATCTTGAATTAACTTTTGCATATGGTATGAGTTAGGAATCAAGGTTCAGATTTTTTCCATATGGAATGTCCAAGTGACAACAGCATTTATTAAAAAGACTATCCTAAATTGTTTATATTTTTTGTGGGGGGAGGCCATTAGGTCTATTTATTTGTTTATTATTTTTATGTATTTTTTAAATGGAGGTACTGGGGATTGAACCCAGGACCATGTGCATGCTAGGCATGCGCTCTACCATTTGAGCTACACCCTCACCCAAAAAGACTATCCTAAAAAAATAAAAATAAAAGACATAAAAAAAGACTATCCTTCCCTCAGTAAATTGCAGTGGTTCCTTTGATATAGATCGAGTGATTGCATATATCTGATTGTATTTGGGGACTTCTCTGTTAAGTTTCATTTGTCTGTTTGTCTTTCCTTACTCCAGCACCATGCTACTGTAGTTGCTAAAGCTTCTTAGTAAGTCTTAATATCGGGTAGTGTAAGTTTTCTAACTTGGTTTTTCTTTAAGATTCTCTTAGCTATTCTGGACCCTTTGCATTTCCATATACATTTTAGAATCAGCCTGTCAGCTTTGACAGAAGAGCCTGCTGATGTTTTCAGTGGGATTATAATACTGAGTTTTCCCGTCCGTGAACTTGGTATATGAGGTTTCAACATTTATTTAAGTTATTGATTCTCTGAGCAGTATTTTTCATTTTCAGGGAAGAGGTTTTGCATATCATTCATTCATCGTATCCTTTGTTACATCATTTACCATGTTTTTCATATTTGTCATATCCTTAAGTATTGATGTTTTTGGAAGCTGTTTTTAAATTTTCTGTTTCTAATTTATAGCACTTAATTTAATGAAAAAGGCCTTTTTCTGGAAAGTTTTATTTTTAAGCTACCAAAGTTAAATAGAGTTGTTATTTTATGAAGCCTGTGTATACCTTGGTTTTACAAAAGATTGAGAATTACTGAAAATCAATAGTATTTATCAACAAAAGTGGCTAAATTTTTTTGGGGGGGGTTGGCTTCTTTAAAAAGATAATTAACATACTCGAAATACTCATTTGCAGCCTATATGAGAAATGTCTTTAATTCCTTTATTGTAAAGAACTCTAGCAAATGAATACCACATATAAATATCTCAAGAGAAATATGGGTTGAGAAGATTAACAAAATAAGTGAAACTTGACCAAAGTAAAAATCAAATGGCTATAAAATAAATATTAGATTAAGGTAGGAAAAAGCATGTGAAGCTCAACATGTTAACATAAAATGAAACAGAAGTGTGTTGTATACCTTCAAATTAAATGCTATATGGTTTTATTATTATACAAATTAGGAAAAGTATTCAAAAATTGAAATGTTTTACAACAGACTGTCTTGATAAGCTCTGTCCTTATTCTATTACTAGTGCCCTTATCTCTTTCCTCACCTTGTAAATATTAGTCACACTCAAAAAACCTGGACACAATACACTTTCAGCATACAGCCAAGAGCAAAATATATTAAATAATCATATTTGAGCCCTCCAAAGAAAACTAAAAAGCATATTGACAAAAAATGTGTACATTATGTTGTAGTATAATCCCCAAATGCCCAGTGTTCACCTTGCCCAGTAGCTGCCCCTCTGGGGACTCATTTTATCTCGAGTCTGCAGAGAGTACAGGCTAGCGAGACGCCTCCCACGGGCCAGCTGTTCAGGCCCACTCAGACTGTCCTCGGACGCGCAGGTGTGCCAGAGCAAAGCCTCACACAGTGACGATACTTCAACCTTTTCTTAAGAAAGAATTTTCTAACACTGTCATGGTTCTGTATGTTGACCCCCAAATTTCCTGTCTTTTCTCATAGGAGAGATTATTTCATTCAATATTTTCTACGAATTTTTTACCATTTGTACTTCAATAATAGCAGAAGATAAAGAAGGTAAATAAATGTGTACTTGAGGGAGGGTGGGCGGAGCAAAGTACGAAGTAAAAGAAAAATCTTGAAATAAATGAAATTAGAACCTGTAAAATACGGGCTTACTGTGCAAATACTATGCATATTGCATATGGTTTTATAGATCTTGGTTAAAGTTTTTGAAAATGAATTGAAAACTTCTTACTTTTAAGACCACTTGTTATGCCTATTAAAGTTTAATTCAGGTGTGCACAAATCTTGGAAGAAGTGTTTCAGGACTAAATACACTCTTACCCTTCCTCCTGGTCAAATGGTACCTGTGTTTATGATTTGATAGTAAGTACTCCCAGGGGCAGAACAAACTTTCTTCCTTCATTTCCCAGCCAAGGAGCCCTGTGTGGACCAGCTCTGCTTTTCCATGTGTGTCCTGACTGGTCCCCAGAGTACAAGGCACAGGATGATTTACCCTGATTCACTCTTAACTTTTGGCCTGTATTCTGCATATAGCTGTAGGTGACAATCCCTGGAGGGGAGCATGTTGGTGAGTCACATTAGGTGAGGCTGAGATAGCTAAGTGGGTAGGACTTGGTCATAGTGGACCAAAAAATAACCCCTGATCCTTTTCCCATGTTCTAATCGTACCTGCAATCCTGTGTTCTTAGGTATTGCGGGAGGATCTGGCCACTGTGACAGGGACAACAGTTTGCTCTTGTTAAGGCTTATTTTTTTTAACTTTTTTTATTGTAAAATAACATTTATTTTACAATGTTGTATCAAATTCCAGTGTAGAGCACAATTTTTCAGTTATACGTGAGCATATATATATTCATTGTCACGTCTTTTTTCGCTGTGAGCTACCGTAAGATCTTGTGTATATTTCCCTGTGCTATACAGTATAATATTGTTTATCTAGTCTACATTTTGAAATCCCAGTCTGTCTCTTCCCACCCCCCACCCCCTTGGCAACCACAAGTTTAAGGCTTATGATATCAGATGCTGCTTAATTCTTATTGTCGGATAGAACAGTTGTGACTGACTGTCACTTAGCCAAAATTAAGTGTCCAGCTTTGATTTAGAATCAGCCATACTGTGATAATTGCTATTAACATGTCTTTTCTGTTTACTATCATTTAGGTCATCTACTACATGGGCGAAACATGGATTTTGGAATATTTCTTGGGTAAGAAAGAATGTGGTGTCTGTCAGTCCCTAAGAAGAGTTGATTGTATTTCATTGATGAAAAGTAAGTCCCAAATCACTCTCAGAATAGGACCAGAAGTGAAGATCCTAGATTCTTTAGTTCTGAAACAAGATGGCACACTTTTATTCAGTGAAACAAGAGTTTGTAACTGAGTCGCACCTGTGAACAGAAGTCTGGAGCATGCTTGAAGGCTCTGGATACACGTCCAGTTTGTTGCTTGGAAGGAAGAGTAGCATTCTGTTTCTTGTGTCTTCTTGACCTTTCTGAAAAAACAAAAAAACAGGGCTTTGTAATTAGAGACCTAAATATCAATCTGTGGTTTGTTATTTATAGGCTGTGTTATGTTAGGAGAGTTACTTAACTTCTCTGAGCCTCAGTTTTATCATGAAGAAAATGGAGGGTAAAACCAGCCATACTGAAAAAGTATTGGGGAGATTGATCATTAGGGATTAGGTAGATGAAGGACCTAGGATAATCCTTGACCAGCACGATCATATTCATCGTTACTGCTGTTCCTAAAGGTCACTACAATTTGTCTTTTGTAGGTGGAATGCTAATAATAATACTTGGGTCGTAACTGAGGAACTGAAACCTTTAACAGTGAACTTGGACTTCCAAAGAAACAATCAAACTGTCTTTAAGGCGTCAAGCTTTGCTGGCTATGTGGGCATGTTAACAGGATTCAAACCAGTAAGGAATCAGTTGCTACATAGTTGTACAGGTAGCTCTCTGTGAAAGGTGGAGTCTAAGGAAGTGAGGACCTAAAGAGAATAGGAAGCCCCAGTTCATCCCTTTGCACTTCTTGTCACCTTCCTTCATAGGTGTGAGCCCACATGGTAGAGAAGAGTAGGAAGGAGATGAAGGTTTCTGAGCCTTTTATGGAGAGGAAGCATGTGGCTGGGTGGCAAGGGCTGGGGATGTAAATCTGGAATCTGTCTTGGGTCTGCCCCTCAAGCAAGTTAGGCATTAAGTCTCTGCACTTCAGTTTCCTTGTCAGAAAAGTGTGGCCAATAACATCCCACCTATGTTTCTCACATACTAGCTGTGAAAATGCTTCGAGCTTCTAAAACAGCTCTGTTAATAGAAGGTGATGGTGTCATGGTTTAGATTTATCTTTGCACCCCCTCTGCCAGTTCCCCAATCCGGGCCCTGATATAACAGTTTACATGGTAGCACAGTGAGAGGGCCTTAAACAGGATGGCTGAGGTTTCTACGTCATTGCTTTGTTTTCCTTTCAGGGACTGTTGAGTCTCACGCTGAATGAACGGTTCAGTACAAATGGCGGTTATATAGGTGAGCAGAGTTTCTAAGTGAAAGGGGAGTTTCATAGAATGTCTCAGGAGGGCTGGACTACGCCTTCTGGTTAATGGTCTGATCTCTTCCAGGTGCTGTGACACTGTGTGTGTTTGATTTCTTCCAGGTGTCCTAGAATGGATTTTGGGGAAGAAAGATGCCAAGTGGACAGGGTTTATCCTTAGATCAGTTCTGGAAAATAGTACAAGGTAACCTGTTTAGTTGCTTTATTATCAGCTTAAATATTTATTTTATCATTTTATTTTTTCTTGAGATATAATTGACATATAACATTATATTAGTTTACATGTAGTATAAAATATTTTGATTTTTGTATATATGGCAAAATGATCACCATAAAAAGTCTGGTTACCATATATCAACACATATTTACAAATTTTTTTTCCTTGTGATAACTTCTACTTTCTTGGAACTTTCAAATACGCACTACAGTGTTATTAGCTATAATCACCATGCTGTACATTACATTCCCAAGACTGACTTATTTTATCACCAGAAGTTTGTACCTTTTGACCCCCTTCACTCATTTCACCCATCCCTCACCTCTGACCTCCGACAACTACTAATCTCCTTTCTGTATTTATGAATTGAGTTTTTCTTTTTTTTTTTTTTTTTAGATTCCACATATAAGTGCGATCATATGATACGTCTTTCTCTGACTTACTTCATTTAGCAAAATGTCCTTAAGGTCCATCCATATTGTCACAAATGGCAAGATTTCGTTGTTTTTAATGGCTAAATAATATTGTATATATACCACATTTTCTTTATCCATTCATCCTTAGGTGGACACTTAGGTTGTTTCCATTTCTTGGCTATTGCAAATAGTACTGCAGCAAACATGGGGGACACATATATTTTTGAGTTAGTGTTTTCACTTCCTTCACATAAATACTTAGAAGTGGAATTCCACATCATATGGTGATTTTAGTTTTTTGTTTTCCACAGTGGCTGCACCCATTTATATTCCCACTGGCAGTGCCTGCACATGGTCCTCTTTTCTTCACATCCTTGCCAGCACTTGTTATCTCTTGTCTTTGGTAATAGCCTGTCTGACAGGTGTGAGGTGACACCTCATTGTGGTTTCGATTTGCATTTCCCTGATGGTTAGTGATGTTAAGCACCTTGTCATACACCTGTTGACCTTCTGTATCTCATCTTTGGAAAAATGTCTGTTCAGCATCTCTGCCCGTTTTATAATCAGATTGTTTTTTGCTATTGAGTTGTGTGAGTTCTATATATATTTTGGGTATTAACCCCTTTATCAGATGCATGATTTACAAATATTTTCTCCCATTTAGTAGGTTTCCTTTTCATTTTGTTGATAGTTTTGTGTGCTGTTTAGAAGCTTTTCAGTTTGATGTAGTCCACTTGTTTATTTTTGTTTTACTTGCTTTGGTGTCAAATCCAAAAGATCATTACCGAGACTCATGTCAAGGAGCCTACCACCTATGGTTTTCTTTTAGGAGTTTTATGGTTTCAGGTCTTAGGTTCAAATCTTTAATCTAGTTTGAGTTGATTTTTGTGTATGGTGTAAGATCGTGGTTCAGTTTCATTCTTTTGCATGTAGCTGTCCAGTTTTCCAAACACCGTTTATTGAAGAGGCTGTCCTTCCCCAAAGTATATTCTTGGTTCCTTTTTTGTAAATTAATTGACCATATGAAAATGGGTTTGTTTCTGGGCTATTCTGTTCCACTGATCCATGTGTCTGTTTTTATTCCAGTATCACTGTTTTGATTACTGAAGTTTTATAATATAGTTTGAAATACAGTTACTCTTTTTCAAGATTGCTTTGGCTATTCAGGGCCTTTTGTGATTCGATACAAATTTTAGGATTGTTTGTTTTATTTCTTTGAAAAAATGGCATTGGAATTTCCATAGGGACTTCACTGAGTCTATAGATTGCTTTGGAGTAGTATGGACATTTTAACACCATTAATTCTTCCAGTCCATGACCTTGGAATGTCTTTCCATTTATTTGTGTCTTCCATTTCTTTATCAGTGTCTTACAGCTCTCAGTGTACAGATCTTTCACCTCCTTGGTTAAAATTTATTCCCATGGATTTTATTCTTTTTAACATAATTGTAAATAGGATTGTTTTCTTAGTTTCTCTTTCTGATAATTCATTATTAGTGTATAGAAACACAACTGACTTATGCATACCAATTTTGGCTCTGTGTCTTTACTGAATTTATTAGTCATAACAGGTTTTTTTCGGTGGAGTCTTTAGAGATTTCTATGTATAATATGTCATCTGTAAATAGTGACAACTTCACTTCTTCGTTTCTGACTTGGATACCTTTTATTTCTTTTTCTTGCCTAATTGCTCTGGGTAATGCTGCCAATACTGTATTGAATAAAAATGACCAGAGTGGGCAACTCTGTCTTGTTCCTAATCTTAGAGAAAAAGCTTTCAGCCTTTCACTGCTGAGTATGATGTTAACTGTGGGCTTATAATACATGGCTTCTGTTATGTTGAGTTCCCTCTATACCCACTTTTTGGAAAGTTTTTAATCATATACGGATGTTGAATTTCATCAAATGCTTTTCCTGCATCTGTTGAGATGATAATATGATTTTTATCCTTCATTTTGTTAATTGGTATATCACACTGATTGATTTGTGGATATGGAACTATCCTTGAATCATGGTGTGTGGTTCCTCTTAATGTATTGTAGTTTATTTTAAATTACTCATATTAAAATATAAAAATATTTCTCAGCTTTATCTTCCGTTAAGGAGTTGTTTCAGAATTTCTTAGGTGAACCTTTGACACTCATATGGAATTCTTCATATTTTGTGTGTATATTTATAGCAAGGAAATGGAATGATTTATTTAAAAAGTGCCAGGGATAGTGCCACTATGAAGGGCATCTATGAATTTTTCTTGGTGTACAAAAAAAAATCACCCACACAAAAAGGAAAAATTTATACAATAAAGTCTTCATTTAAATCATAATACCTGTTAACTTAGAAGTTGTATTCTACGCTGGTGCAGAAATCTTATAGTAGCAAAACTGCCTTTAGCCAGCACTGCATCCAAATGACCTAGAATAAATGGGCATCAATCCTATTTTTAATGATTTCCAGGGCATAACGTTTAGTAGTCTTCTTTGAAAATTCATTTCCATTTTTAATAGCACTAATTTCCAAGAAGTTTACTTTCTATTCCTAAGTCTTACGTATAGTAATTTATATTATTTCCCTGAATTCTGTTTTTGGGTGAAAGGCAGTGATTATAAGGGTGGGAGATGGTCTCTTGGGCCATTTTGTCTGTCCTTCAGGCTAGAGGGAGCATTTCAGAGCTCAGTGTCTCACCACATAGGAGTCAGAGATTGTTTCTCCCTGGGTTCATGTTCCTCACATACTTGTTTTTCCTTAGTTTCCACACCTAAAAAATTTCCAAGTCAACTAAAAATGTTTCTTTTTTTTTTAAATGTCTGTGTAGTTATGAAGAAGCCAAGAATATATTGACAAAAACCAAGATCCTGGCCCCAGCATACTTTATCCTTGGAGGCAACAAGTCTGGGGAGGGTTGTGTGATTACACGAGACAGAAAACAGTCTTTGGATATATACGAGTAAGTGCATTTGTTAAAGCAGAATAAATAGAAACTGAAGCATAGACTAATATATGTACATGTTTAAGGCATGAAGCCTAAAAGGAATCTCTCTTTTTGTGTCTAGACTTGAACCCAAGCAGGGTAGATGGTATGTGTTACAAACAAATTACGACCGTTGGAAAAATCCCTTCTTCCTTGATGATCGCAGAACACCTGCAAAGATGTGTCTAAACCGGACAACCCAAGAGGTACATTTGCAGTGTCATCTATGGCAACCATTAAAGATGACCTCCATTCTGGCATTTTTCTGTGGTCTTTGAACAATTTATAAACCTCCTATTATTAAGTGTCTGGACAATCCCCAGTGAATTTGTTTTGTTTAGTTTTTAATGTAAAGAGCAAAATTTTGCCGTACTTTCCCCTTTCTTATTTAATGCTGGACACCATTCTGTAGAGTTGGGTGGCAAGAATTCAAGAGGGGAGGAAGGGAAAGAAAGAAAAAGTGATATATCAGAATCATTGCCTCTAACAGTGACCCCGAGGGAAATTCTTTTATGGGATTTGAGAGAGGTTGATTGAAGAATGTCTTGTTGTATTGACCCATTTGTGTGGATAAGGCTGCCAATATCTGTAATGTACTGAACAAAACTATTTTTTTGTATTTTAGAATATCTCGTTTGCAACTATGTATGATGTCCTGTCAACAAAACCTGTCCTCAACAAGGTATTTAAATATTTAGACGTTTGCTTTTAGGGAAAGAATGTGATCCCATGTTTTACCACTCCCTGTTGTCTTGGATCAGAGCTAGGATGCCAAGTAATGTTCAGCTTAAGGCTGCTTTTAAAAATGTTTTTGTGTGACTAAAACCATAACTCTAGGGAGGTGACAGAGATGTTGGTCACTGCAGCTTGATGTCCAGTTTGGCCAGAGTATTGTTTCCAGTTTTACTTACTTGGCAGTCGAATTGAGTCTAGTATGTTAGTCTTGACTTCTCTGTCTATGAGGAATCGAACACTGTGCATTGCAACTAACACCTATGACTTGGCAAAACAGAGTCAGAAGTCTGTTTTCAGACAGCTTTGCGTCTTAGTGGGTCAGGGTTTCTCTTAAATTCTATTACATCTTTTTCTTTTCCTGACACTGTGGCTAAAATACGCCATTTTGCTAATAGTTCACCCCCTTGTGTATTTCCGATTCCCCGGATTCTCCCATTTATTCCTTCTCTTCCTTTCCTTGGTCCTTTTCCTTAACCCTCCCTGGAGTCAGTGTGCCTACGGCACCTTTGCCGGAACAAATTGTCCTGCCCGTTAGCATGTGGATCAGAACCTGGCTCCTGAGGGAAGCCTTCCTTACTTCACTGACCGTCCGTCTCACTTGGCCCACACCATCTTCATGTGAGCGCACAGTTGGGTGACTTACAGATTCTGAGTTTGGGTGTATACCTTGTAACCTACCTGCCTGCGTAGTTTCCCTCACCGCACTAGAAATGCTTTAAGGGTAAGGGTAGCCAAAGCTAAACTGTTTACACCCCGCAGTACACCATTAGTCTTTGCAAATTACGCACTGAGGAGGGTTAAGTGAGTCATAAAGCCTTTGCGGTGAAGCGATGTACTGCTCAGAATTAAGACCAAGGCTTGGGAGAGAAAGCCCAAGGCTGTTCATGTTCATGCTTTGGAATAATGGTTCTGTTGAAGTCAGTTGTTTTATTATTGACTTATTATTTATTTATTAATTCCTTGGACCTTTATATTATGTAATACTTCTTTTTACCTTTACAGATACAGTATTATATATTATTTAGTATTAAGTAACTTCATAAGCAATTCCACAAGTAAAGAAATGCCAATATGAGTCAGGTCATCTTAGAACTGAACACATCCTTTTAAGTAAAAATAACTTCTCTTTCAGCTGACGGTATACACAACCCTGATAGATGTTACCAAAGGTCACTTTGAGACGTACCTGCGGGACTGCCCAGACCCCTGTATAGGTTGGTGAGCACACACCTGGCCTACAGGATGCGCCTTCTGTGACATCAAGACGGGAGCCCCCACGTGGCTGAGCAGTGCAGCCGTGTCTGATCTCCTTCCAGAGACTCAGGGCAGGTTCTCTCTGAGGCGTGAGCTCGTCTTTCTTGGTATGTTTGCAACTCACAGGCTTTTTTTGCTGAAATGGTTGGTCATTCTTACATACAGATAACTTCTTTTAGCGAAATATGCCAGTCATCCAGAATTTACTGTGTTTCATTTCACTCTGACATTTGGGAACGGACAGTGAAAACTACTGTGAGACCCCCGCTCCGTGGAATAAAAGCAGGATTCTCTGTGGGCACTGAATCCTGTACACCTGTGTGAGTAACAGTTAATAGTCCACATGATTCAGTTTTTCACTTTTATCTCACATTTGTGTTTTTCTGCCCTTTCTTCCTGGTTCTGACTACTATTAAAACTAATATACCATTGTTTTGCTGTCTGTGACAGCAACGTATTTCACTAATTTTGATTGGAGGAGGATAAGACAGGAACTCAACTGCATGTTTCTCTTAATGGGCGTCACGTGAGCTTTTGCCTCTGAACAGAAGTCCTCCTGAGGGGGCTCATGAGGTAATCAGTCTGCAGGGCAGTCTTTTATAGTTAGGTTTGAAGTGTCTCCTTTTTCGTATTTAGCCTACCTCCCAGTAACCCCAGGCAGTTAATTTCAAAGACAGTCTTAGGTTCTGTGAATCAGGATTAAAGAAGCAGATCAAAGACTTGTGGAAAATAGGAGGTGAGCCATTATTTTAAACTCTCATAAGGATCATTCGTTTAATAAATAAATTTTTAGTTTGTCCTTCTGATCAATATGTATTTTTTTAAACTAAGCTCTACTTACTAAAAATGTTTTTCAGAAATCAATCTATTTATGAGAAACTTGTTAACCTTTCCAACTTTCACAGTGAATTGTGAAATGTAGGCCAGATGGGTAAGACCCGTAGCCACTTCACTTCTGTGTAATGTCAGCTGTATTCATGACATTCAGTAAGCAGTCATTGGAAGAAGTGTCGGTCAGCAAGCAGTCCTGTATGCTGACTGACGGTAAACCTACGTGTTGGTTTGAGGGTGGGGGTGATGGAGAAATCCAAGATGAATATATTTGAATTAAATTAGGTTATGTAAGTGGCCTATTCAACTTATGACTAAATGGTCACAGTCTAACATGACTAACCCTTATCACCTCTTAACCCAGTGATATCAATCCAGTGTGGAGGTGTCCAGAGACAGCTTTTCCTCCCAGATAGGAGGCGCGTCCGCAAAACTGTGGTGATCTCAGCGTTAGCTTAGTGAAGCAAGGAGAATCACAAAAGGACTTGTGTTCAAACGGGATTCGATGAATTACAAAAACTTTACTTTGGATTTTGCTCGTCTTATAAAAATGAAGTGACGTAAACTCGTAGTTTTTCCTAAAGTAGTAGTCTTTGATATACATGAGAATAAAGAGGTGAGAGGCTAATTGTCTCAGACTGATTCCTCAGGACTGAATCAAAGCGTTTGGAGGAAATAACAAGTGGTATTAAAATTTCAGGTAGTACTGTTTAGTGGTTAAAAGCAGTTTATAAAAGAGGATATATAGTATAAACCTATTTATGTAGTACTTGATACACGTCCTTATGCATAACTAGATACACATCTAGAACAGAGAGACGACTAGGAGGATGTTACCGAAACACTGACAGTGGTTCCTCCAGGATAGTGGTGTTAAGTGCTGTTTTAATTTGGAGAGGACATTAATGAGACTGTATTTTTAAAAATACTGGATAAAATTAAGGGGCAAGTTGGATACAAACCTTGGGCTGTTATTTCCCCACCTAGCTTTAGTCTGTGGCATTTCTATACATCCTGTGACAGCTTTTGCCCCAGACTGTTATTCCAAAGATGCTTGTCTAGCAAACTGCCTTGAAGATAGAAATAGGGTCTCCCCTTGTGATAGAGGAAAGGCTTGTTTCCTGTCTAGGGTAAGAAAGACCACTGCCCGCCTGCAGGGCGAAGGTTGGACAGCTGGCCAAGCAGAGCAGCCCCTGCCGTCACCAGGGGCTCCTCAGCTCACTTCCTCAGCTGTGATGCAGGTGTGGCATGTGCACCATCTACTTGGGCTGTTCTCGTTAGCTCTGTGGGACTTGGGACGGGGGAGGCGGGGGATCCACGTGAACCCGAACTCACGCTGCCCGGTATGCAGGGAGTAGTAAAGCCCTTCGCCTCTGACCCGGGAGCCCATCAGTGTCCATGCAGTGGCGGCAGACTACCTCATTTGCTTGCCAGTAGAGTAAAATCTCAGGCCTTTCGTGGTTGGTGATGGTAGTGATGGTGTGTTGCGCCTGGATGACACGTGTGCCTGGAGACACTGACCTCTCGGCCTCCCACAGCACCGGCTTCCGTGGGCTCCACGAAGAGCAGGCATGGGTAGGGAGTTGACTGCATCTCCCCGTGGCCTCCTCAGGCTGGGGAAGGAGGTGTGTGTGCAAGGCCAAGGGTAGGTTTTGTGCTAGATTGCTGGCTCTGCAGACCAGAGGGACCTGGGCCAACTAGATTTTGCCTGTCAAATCCAGAATCAATGTAAAGGTATCTAGCCACTCAGCCCTCACTGGGTGGCCTCCTCCCCTTTTTTTTTCCACCAGAACCCAAACCTATCTTGGTGGCCCTTGTCCTCACTGGTACCGAAAACATTTGGAACTTGCTGCCTCCCTAGATGGGTAGAGCAAGACCCAGTGGGTGCCTGAGCACCTGGCCATGTGCAGATCTCAGTACAGCCCAGACGACAAAGGGTCTCAGGTCTGGAGGGGTTTCTGTTCCGGGTACCGGGAAGCCCAGCACGCAGCTCCACCACAGACAAAATCCATTTCCCAAGATATTTCAGTACCACATTTAACAATGAAAGAGGAAAAGAAGTTATTTATCTTCAAATATAATTTCAACTGCTGTCAATTCTTGATGGTTGTAGAGTATAGGTTTAAGTGTATGACCCAATTATGTATCCTCAATGATTTTCAAAAATTTGAAGAGATCATCATAATTTCTTTTTTGTAGCAACTTCAAATAGGCTATAAACCATAGTAAGAGATGTTTATAGTTTTAAATATTTTGTCCTAGCTTCCCTGATACTTTTGTTCATAATTTACACATTTCATAATTTTTAAATAGAAAATGTCATGAATTTTTCACAAAGTTCCTCCAGTTTACCTCAGCAAGCATTACAAGCACTGTCATTTCCTGCGTGTGCCATGGTGTGTACGAATAAAGGCTGGAAAGCCCCGTCCCCGAAGTCTGGACGGAGGTGAACCCGGAGCCCTGGTTCCGACTCCTTCATCACCCAGTTGTGTGCCCTGGGACAAGCCTCCGAGCCTTCCTGCACCTTCAGGTCTGCCTCTGCCACGTGTGGGTTTAACCCGTTTTCTCCAAGGTTTCCTTTAGCTTTATGAACCCAGATTTAAACTGCACCTCAGGTTAGCAGGCAGTTTGGTAGCAGCCAACAACCCAGGTGGTGTTGGACCTGTCAGAACCACTGTAGTATTTATTATTCACGGATTTGAATGGGTAAATTTAATTAAAGTTTTCTTATCAAGTATTTCAAAATAATGATGACACTTTAATTTGCAGAAAGCACATATATTGTTAAAGCAATTGTGGGCAGCTAGCTTTGGACGCCTCCAGTTAGCCCATCAGTTGCACATGGACTTTTTTTTATATATGGGTAACATTTGTGCAATACATAGGTATACCTGACACACACAGACTCTGACAGTAAGAATGCTTAATTTTGAAAATAGGTAGCACCTGAGTTCAGTGCCCACCCTACTTGAATCTCAGGAAACATAACTCAAGTTATGCCCTACAGTAGCCCAGTGGGCTGAACAGTACAACTCTTACCCATACAGATAAGAGACTGGGTTGACAGTGTTATTTCAAAACATGAGAGGAGTTCTAACGAGTCAGCTGCAAGGCCATGCATGCCCAGGTGTGTGTGGGTGAGAGAAATCTCATTACGCGCTGGAGTTATAACTAAGGAGAGATAACTTGATGCTAATAACAAGTTTGTTTTTCACATACTCAGGTAAAATGAACCATGTCGCCAAATGGAATAAGTAAGATTTTTCATCTTAGTTACTGATAATAAATATTTCCTTGTGTACCTAACGCCTAATGACTGGCTCTGTCATTATCAGTAGAGAATTGTCTTTAGAAAGAAAATCGATTTTCAATATTTTTTTCTGTTAATTTAGTTGCTAGAGGGAATAAATATGCAAGATTTTCACTTCTCTTTGCCTTTGATAAGGTACTGAGTTCATACTATATATGCACTGGTTTCCAAGTTAAAGCTTTCATTGCCAATGAGCAATGGTGTCATGTAGGGATTGGAACAGAGAGACTTCGGTTCTAGTCTTGGTTCTGCCACTTAGTTTTCCTGTATTTAAAATGTGAAAAGGCCTGATGGAAGATCTTTGATATTTGCAGACTTTTTAGTGCAGATGACAAAGGAATGATGTTCGGCTGTTTTCATAATCAAAAGAATAAGGCAATATATAACAAATCAATATATACTGAACAATACTGTTGTCTTTGAGGCAAGGTAGTTTTGTATTTCTCAAATCATTACCACATTGAAAATCTACCATGGCCAAAATAATCTAATATTGAAAATATTTTTCTGTCACCTCCTTAAGCTCTCTATATGCCAAGAGCTAATATGATGGATTTTTTAAAATCTTAAGTGATTGTTTAGGAAAAGAGATTACAGCTTCTATGTTTTTTTTTAAGCTTTTTTTTTTTTAAATCATAGAATCGATGGACTATCCAGCTACACTCTTTTTTTGTTTTTTTTGTTTTCTTGGTGAGGGAAGGTAATTGTTTGTTTATTCTTAGAGGAGGTACTGGGGATTAAACCCAGGACCTCATGCATGCTAAGCATGAGCTCTACCACTTGAGCTGTACCCTCCCCACTGACCCTAGACTTCAAGGGCTGAGTATAGGTGCTCTTGAGTTACAGGCAGTCTAGCTTTTTTTTTTTTTTCAGTGCAACTACTTTAAAGTGACAAATTCAGCATTAAAAACACAGAGAAGAGCTAATAGATTTGTCAAGTGGTTTATTAGAATTATATAACCAAAGCAGTTGTCCTCTGGTGTATCATTTTGTGTAAATACTTTGAAAATTTGAAAATTACCAGTTGTAAGTGTTTTACTGAAATTATAATTTTATTTTTGATAGTTTCATGAGATTTCATATAGAGCAACTCCCCCCGCTTCAAATTAAAACAAATGTAAAACTTTTAGCACTGTGAACAAGTTTTACAGAGTTAATGTTTTACAGAGTTCAGCATAGAAAAACTGGAAGGTGCAATTTTTTATCAAGTGATTTTTTTTTGGTCCACTTTATTTTTAAATTAAAATTTTATATAATTTTTATATATATGTATTTATTGAAGTATAGTCAGTTTACGATGTGTCAGTTGATGGTGTACAGCATAATGCTTCATACATGAACATATATTCGTTTCCATATTTTTCACCATTACTACAAGATACCAAATATAGTTCCCTGTGCCATACAGTATGAACTTGTTTATCTGTTATATATATGTTAGTATCTGCAAATCTCAAACTCCCAGTTTATCCATCCTCCTGTCCCCCTGGTAACCCTAAGTTTGTTTCTATGTCTTTGAGTCTGTTTCTTTTCTGTAAATAAGTTCATTGGTCATTTTTTTTAAGATTCCACATGTAAGTGATATCATACGGTATTTGTCTTTCTCTTTCTGACTTATTTCACTTAGTATGATAATCTCCAGATCCATCCATGTTGCTGCAAATGGCATTTTATTCTTTTTTATGAATTCCATTGTAGAAATCTACTACTTACTTATCCAGTCATCTGTCAGTGGACATTTAGTTTGCTTCCATGTCTTGGCTATTGTGTGTAGTGCTGCTGTGAACTCTGGGGTGTAGGCATCCTTTTGAATTAAGGTTCCCTCTGGATATATGCCCAGGAGTGGGATTGATGGATCATATGGTAAGTCTATTTTTAGTTTTTTGAGGAATCTCCACACTGTTTTCCATAATGGCTGCACTAGACTACATTCCCACCAGCAGTGTTGGAGGGTTCCCTTTTCTCCACACCCTCTCCAGCATTTATCATTTGTGGGCTTGTGAGAGATAGCCATTCTGACTGATGAGGTGATACCTCATTTTTGATTTGCATTTCTCTGATAATTAGTGATACTGAGCATTTTTCATGTGCCTATTGGCCATTTGTATGCCTTCATTGGAGAATTACTTATTTAGGTTTTCTGCCCATTTTTAGATTTTATTAAGTTGTATGAGCTGTTTATAGATTCTAGAAATTAAGCCCTTGTCAGTATCATCTTTTGCGAATATTCTTCCATTCCGTAGTTTTGTTTTGTTTTGCTTATAGTCTCCTTTGCTATATGCGAAAGAGCTGGGTTTTTTGAGGTAATCAAATTTATT